GTGAAAGCGAAACTTTTTTTGGCCTTCCAAAAGAGGACGATATCCGCTTCGTCATGCCTAGAGCTGATCCATGCTGGTCGCTGAGGAAATACATCAACTTCGCGCGGTGGATCACCGGATCGGCTTTCACCGTGGACAAAGTGGAGTCCAGCCCGGGGTCGTCACATACGGTTGCCACACGCCAGCCAGCCGCTCCTTCCCCGAATCTGCAGGCCGCGCCGTTCTCAAGCTCACCGGCCTACTCTCACTCAGCCCGCCAGCCATTCCTCACTCTAGCCGCCGGCCTCCACTCACTCTAGGCCGCCGCCGCGTGTGACGCTGTGTTTTGTTGTAAACCGAAACTACTTTGTTTGGCCTTCCAAAAGAGGACACGACTAGAAATCTTTGGTTAAGTTGTATTTACAACACTGTTCCAGAACACTTCAACCCAAATATTCAGATGTGTGCAGCACATTTTATGGAGGACTGATTCCTGATCCTGGTAGAGTAGACTACAATGTCGGCTGTTCTGACTCACAGACTGTAAGTACGTTTTTTATATTTAAAGAATTTGCCACTGACGAAAATTGTGAAATAGTATTTAACTATTAAAATATGCGAAATAGTTCAATAGATCCTGCAAAAACGCACTCTCCATTTAAATAACGATGAACTGGAAATATTTTTTTCCTGAAATAACAAAAATGAGCCAAAACACATTATGTGAGACATGATAATTAAGAACCTTTCGGCCTTCAAAACTTTTTTGTGTGCAGTGTCGGGGAAACATTTTCAGTTGCAGAAATTTTAGTGCACAATTATATAGCATTACGATAATAAACTGCATATAATTTAGGGCTGCACGATTAATCGAATGCGATTGTCATGCGCATTTTGTTAAAAAAGCCGGTTCTGTAATCAGCAGGAAATCATCATCACGTGCTTTCAGATGGAGCAGAATTTACTACACATAGCCGTAGTTCACTGACAAGTTACGCAAAAAAAGACGATTTTATTGCGCGATTCTACGGTGGCCGAGAGAGCTCAACGCGCTGCAACTTAAGAAAACACATGCAAATTGAAAAAACACCAGGATTCTGAAATTGAAGAAATCGTTCACGATAAGGACAGCTGTTTGCATAGCTTCTCAGTGAACTACGGCTCTGTGTAGTAAATGCTGCTCCATCTGAAAGCATGTGCAAATACCACATTTAATAACATATTTTTGCTCCAAACTAACTTCATAACGTCAGTCGAGTGTTTGAAATAAATCCTTCTGTGAGATGATGTGGCTTCTTACACAGAATAAGGCACGCAACATATTTCATAGTATTTAAGCAGTGATAAAGACATTGCATTATAAATATACTTTATTTTAATGAAAATTATAATAATAAGAACTCAGATAAACCGTATATTGCCGTAGTCATGTGTTTATTAGTCACATTGAATCAATGAAAGCTGTTGAATCTTCTGTTTATTCAGCTGCAGCGAATAAACTGGGTTTCTTCTGCAAGGTGTATTTGGAGTTTCAGCGTAAGAGTGCCCTCTGTCCTTTGGATGGAGATTTACTGCTGATCACAGAACCGTGCTTCACTGAAAGATACGCATGACAATCGCAGCTTCTGTCGAATCGCGATCTCGATTCCATTTCGATTTATCATGCAGCCCTAATACAATTCATTTAAAACATATATATATATTTTCACACCAGTCAAAAATAGTTTCAAATATTGCAGTAAAATACATAGATATACCTTCAAGAGTCCGTTACAATTAAATATATACTGCAAACACCTGGTATACAAAGCAAAGCATGCAAACAGCAATTCAGGCATTGAGACTGATGTCACACTTGTGTAAAGGTCACAGTGACTCCATGCCACCATCTAATGTGCTAACACTCCACTGACCTCCTGAAATAGCAAAGAAAATAAACAGCAGCCCAGGAGACACTGGAAAGCAGGCTGTAATTCTGAGCACCATTGTTCATGATTGCCGGACATTCAGAATGAAAATTAGTAAAAATAATAATAATGGTTAAGAAAACAATAAATATATTGTATTGAAAAATATATATATACTAATTTATAATACACTACCGGTCAAAAGATTGGAATAATATTTTTTTTGTATGTCTTTGAAAGGAGTTTCTTACAATCTTACACCAAGGCTGCAATTCTTTGATCAAAAATACTATAAAAAGAGCAATATTGTGAAATATAATTACAATTTAAAACAACTCTTTTCTATTTTAATATATTTAAAAATTGTATTTATTCCTGTGATGGCAAAGTTGAATTTTCATCATTTCTCCAGTCTTCAGTGTCAAATGATCCTTCAGAAATCATTCTAATATGCTGATTTTCGAAACCATGAAAAAAATCTTATTTCAACGTTTGACTAGTTGCATATATACTGTACTATAAAATATTTTTGTTTTTGTTTTTTCAGTTTCTGAATCCCCTTCTGGGATTTAGAGAGGCAATAAAAAAATTCTTAAATTATGTGTAAACTTTTAAATATTTGAAATTTTAAAATACCCTGAGCAAAAAGACAGGAACTCAATCCCAAGGGCTGCTTCAGAGCTTCTTATCACAGCCCATCTGAATTCAGACATACACGAGGAGCTCGACTTTGGGAGCTTCTGCGGGACTTAAGAAGATTACATAGATTCGAATAGTGTTAACTAAGACGGCGTTCCCCCGAAAACCCAGATGGAAGGAAGATGAGGAGGGGGGACCTCTCTGATGTTCTCGATCTGTGTGGCAGAAGGCAGCTGAGGGTGGCCACGTATTGCTCTCTTTGTTTTCATTGGTCCTTCATGTCCAGTGAAAGGGATCGGAGAACCTAGAGATTTGGAAATCGGAAGGCTATCAGCGCAGCTATCAAAACGAGGCTGGCACCTGGTTGGTTCATGAAGGACAGATGTCTGCATGCATGACATAAAGGATGCCTTTCTCCATCACTTGATTTTTACAACAGTCTAATGGAAATCAAATGAATTTTAAAAGGCAGATAATGACTAAAGCCAATTAGAGAGTCAATCCCCATAAATATGAACAAAAGCGAAGCGATTTCAAGGGATGCTGAGCTAGTTCTGTAACAATGACGTGACATAAATAGACTAATCTTTATTGAAATGAACTTTGACTGCAGTCTGAACCCAAGAGGGAGCTGAAAGGCAAACAGATCTTATCGGATGTCCCAAGACAGGCCTTCTGTTTTGGCTAAAAGAGAAATCTTACAATTCTCTATTCACTAAATGCCCATCCCTAGCACCGATTTCTTTTTCAAATTAGCCTGCTTTGTTTTTACGTTATAGATATCTTTTAATTCATATAGGAAAAAAATACAGATTAATGCAGTTTTCAGAGCAGAGCGTAAAATGACCTTCCTGTGGGTCACAAATAATAGTAACCACAGCCCTATAATTGTCCTGGCATCCAAGATTATTACTTTCCTTTCAACACTAACGCAAACAAACCTTCCACAGATGACAATCTAACTTCCCTTCGGAGCAATGCCACTATATTCTTAACCTCAGATTGTGGTAGCAGAGAGAATCACATTGGGGAAACCCAAGCAAGCTGCTCAGGAAACATTTGACATGTTATGACTGTTAGTATTAGCACTGTGTGGAACAATATGAGCTGATAAAGCTGACCTCATAAAAATAACATAAGCGATACCAGCATTTGGACAAACTAAAAAGAGCACCTCAACAATAAAGGGACCTGTCTAGAGGATATCTAAAATTGTTTTTGGTCATAAAAAGTTTCTGAATGGCCAAAACTATCAGAGATAAGACTCAGCTGACACACACTTATTCGAAAGGACACACTATCTACCTATAAATTAATTACAAGTCTGTAAATATATGGATGTTAAATACTGATTTACATATGTTTTATTATGTGAGAAACCATTACAGTCAGTAATAAGGAAATTGGTATGGGTCAAAGACGAGACGTCCCATTTTGGTGGCCGCATCAAATTAAATTGACAAAATATTTATAACACAGAATGCATATTAAATGCAAAAATGTCTACTTTAATGTTTCAAATAACTTCTGTGAAAATAAAATGTCAAAATATGGTGAAATAATGTTCCATTGTGTCATTCAGCATAATAGATGTTTTTATGTAAAAATTAAACATGCTTATTCTGACCTGTACTTATTAAAATATACAAACACACATTTTTTTTCAGGCTTCTTTGACGAATAGAAAGTTCAAAGTTTCAAATACACATCTTTTGTAACATTGCAAATGTCTTTACTAGAATCTGGTAAACTATCTTTACTAGATTATGTATTAAAGGGATAGTTCACCCAAAAATGAAAATTCTGTCATAATTTACTCACCCTCCTGTCCTTCCAAAACTGTAGGAGTTGCTTTTGTTATGTTGAACATAAAAGAAGATATTTTGAAGATTGCTGGTAATGAAACAGTTGGTGGTTGCCATTGACTTCCATAGAAGGAAAAAAAAAAATACTATGGAAGTCAATGGCAACCACCAACTGTTTGATTACCAGCAATCTTCAAAATATCTTCTTTTGTGTTCAACATAAGAAAGCAACTCATACAGGTTTGGAACGACATGAGGGTGAGTAAACGATGACAGAATTTTCATTTTAGGGTGAACTATCCCTTTAATCTTAAAAATTTAATAAATAACACGATTAAAATGACAGCTTCAGTATTTACAATGTGGTTATAAAAGAAGCTCTGATCTGTTCACTACATTTCCTCTTGTCTAAAGTACAAGGGCATCATGATTTTAGTGTTATTATGGCTCCGGTGGGTCAGTTTCAACATCGATAGCAGGATATGCATACATGATCTACTGCAGGAATGTCACGTGATGGAATTATAATAAACGATACAGTCATTTGTACAATAATCCTACCTGATTCATGTCCACTGAAAGCGTGATGTTTGTATATCTTGATCACACGTTCACTACGCAGCCGCATCAACCTTGAACTCCATTGCATCTTTGAACAAGTTTCCTTCTGATTGGCTAAGAAAACAGCAATTCAGTCGCTGATTGGCTGTAGCCTCACCGGCGTTGCTGTCAACACCAGAAAAACATGGCGGCTCCCATGAGCGGCATGGCTGGATCCACCAGCATAGGCAACGCAACTAGTTTTCAGAAAACCCCCCGAAGAAAACTAGTTTCTATCCCTGGTACAAGACCGTCTGTACAGAACGGACAGCTCTTAGTATCGTCTGGCGTCAGTTCGCTTGACTACGTGATTGGTCAGTACAATTCACTCGGTTTAAGCTCACTGTCAAGTGTATGTGCAATATATTCATAGTTTTGCTCTCCACTTTATCGTCTTCATGTTTATTAGTAAATCTAGACAGACTTCCCCATTAATAGACTTTTTTCTGCACCACTGTCACACTTAATGTATGCAAGTAGTATCATGTAAGACCTCGCAGAGAAATGCCCTTATTCCTTCAATTTATTTTATTTTATTATGGGTATAATTAAATATTATTATATTGCATAAATTTTTTTTTTGTATTTTAAGTCCTGTAAGATATAGATTCGGTAATGATTACTTTATCTTGGCATGTATACACTGTAAAATGTGACAAAGAATTCCATGAAAAATATGTGTTCAGTAATAATAATGACAATTATAATAATTTTTATTTGTCTTTAATTGAAATCCTACACTCAAAAAGAATACACTGTATATATTATATAGCATATATATACTATATTTCTAGATATTTCTATATTTCAGTTTGTAATAAAGGTACTTGCTTAGCTTACCCACAGTATATTGATTGCATCTAGTTTAAAAGTTAGACATTTTAATAATAATAATGCAAAATGTTATGTGGTAAGGAAAATGTTTATTTTAATGCAGGTGTGCGTGAGCTTTTCTGATTAAGTTATGGGGATATCTTTTGAAGCGTATGGTATTGGTTGATGTTTAGATAAACTACGTTATTGTGTTCTGTCATTAAATCATGTGCACTGTTGTGTAGGTGGAGGCCTGGCAGTTGGAACTCTGCTGCTTGTAGGTAAGCAATGAAGCAATGTCTTTATACTGTCATGTCATGCCAGTAGGTCGTTGAAAAAGTTATTATTTCTGGCTATTATGTTTGCACTCAACCAATGTTTTGCATGCAAAAATATGGGTAAGATATTTGATTACTAAAAATAATGTTTTCATTAGTGTACAGTACAAAACCAAAGCCAATGAAACACAGAAGCATCTAACCAGATGTGCAAATAGCAATAGTGTGTGTATATTATTTCTTAATAATAATGTAGTTGCTTTTGATTCTACAAATTATGATTCAGTAGGCTGATAGCTCATTAGATATGGTGATAACTCTGATTACAGATTAATTGTGTTTTTTTAAATTCTGTAAGGATAACTGCAGTTTACCCGAGTAGAGAGGTTAATTTTGAGGATGTTTCTGTTGCTCCTCATCATTTTTTTTTTTTTTTTAAATATAAGGTTAAGAAAGTTGACACTTTACACTCTAGTATATGACTGCCATATCTTTTTTATTTTTTTTGAATAGTGATTCATTTTGATGTGGCTTATCATTATCAAAACATATATTCATAAGGATCTTATATCTTTATGGCCTACTTTCTATTCTTTGCATTCTTTTGTCATATTGAAGTCATTCTTTCACTTCATTGAAAGTGGATTGGTCATGGTTCTTTATGATGTATTGAGTCCTGTCTAGGTCACTCCCCAACATGTGACCCACATGTGTATTAGACAAGTAGATGTTTTTACTAAATTGGAAAGAAATGATTCTAAATGGGAAATAAATTATCTGCTTAAATTGTGGGCTGTAGCTTTATCTAATACACTGCATCTTTTTTTCCAGATGTTATTAACTTACAGGTGACGTTTGTAATTTTTGTTACAAGTTGTACTAAAGAAAAAATTGTATTAATCTGAACACCACCTGCCATTGGATGGTTAAATAGATAGCTCCGCCCCACATTTACATCACTGGTTGAGCCAGTGTTGCTGTGTAAGACTGGATGGGATGCTAAAACATGCAGAAATATTTTATTGTGCTTGTGTTAGGTAATTGGTTTAATTTTCTGCATATTATGTTATAGAAGAAATTATTTTAATATTGAAAAATACACAAGTTGAACGGTTATTATTTGATTCAACAGTAATTAAAATACATGATAGAAGTGTCCCCAGTGGTTGCACGTTTAATTCCGATTTGTATTACTGGTGCCATTGTGAATCAGTGAGACTCGGACAGCAAACATATGGAACCAGGAGGGCAGAAGTGTTGACCCAAATTTCCCCTGCAGCTTTGAGTGACCTGGCATCCGCCCGAGATCACCCTGATGAGATCGTGCAGGTATGAAGAAAATCAAATCAAGTGTTCACACTCTGCCTCTTCGACGCTTTGGTCAGGTTTTTTGGTTCTGTGAACTCCAAATACATCAAAATTCATTATTTACAGCCGTATTCTTTTTATATAACTAGTACCTGGCTCTCAAAACAATAAACCTGGAGAAATCTGTGTGTCTTTTTCAGTAAAATGTTTTTCTCAGCATTGGTCAGGAACCGTGTGACCGAACATGACACAGTGTCTGTATGTATTGTTATGACTGTGCTATATAGTCTGATTTCTTTTGGTCTAAGGACTCTTTGAAACTGTTTGGAATAGAATACCATAGTCAAAGTAGTCAAAGTATTATTTTTTTTCTCTGCATGTATAGTCTGCATAGCAGTTTATACATGCTTTGTACATTCCAAATCTGTCCCACAATGCAATGCGCACAAATTAACCTTGCATTGCTTATGCAATGAAGTAACCAGAAGTAATATGTGCTGTAATTTTTTACATATTTTCTTTCTTCATTATTTCATGACATTTTATTTTATTTTGACATTATTTGCATCTTGTCTTGCTTCATTATTTGTTTAGACATTGTTTTATATTTTTTTTATTTTGAAATTATTCATATCTTCTTGCTTCATTATTTGATCAAGCATTTTATTCAATTTGTTATTGTATTTTATTCCAATTTGTCATTCACATCTTTTCTTCATTATTATTAATATTACTAGTAGTAGTATATTTTATTTCATTTATTTTACATTGTTCGCATCTTTGGTATTTGACCATTTTATTTATTTAGACACATCTTAATCATTCACATCTTCTTGGTTTATTATTTAATCAGACACATTTTATTTTATTTTACATCATTCACAGAGTAAGACTGTAAGGCATCAGTGTAGTTTAAAATGTGCATACTGTTTCTTGTTCTGCATTTAAAAAGCTCTAGGCAGTAGTCATGTCTAGTGTGCAGTGTGCTTTTAAGCGGTACACTAATATTCCATTACAAACATAGCCAGTTTTTTCTCTCTCTTCTCCTACCCCATCTAAGCTTTCATAGACTGATACATGAATGTTTTTGTGTAAGAGCTCAGGGAGTTACCTGTGAGCGTTAACAAGTCTCACCTTAATGACAGTGGACAGGAGTTCCTCTCTCGCCGGCCCCTGATTGGCCCCCAGTCAACACAAGCTTAATGAGGGCCTCTTGTTGCCCTTCAGACAGCTCCTGCATTGAGCTGTTATTTGTGAAACAGTCTCTGTTTTTTGTTATTGCATGGTCTGTATGAACATTCCCCTAAGGGACACAGTTCCCACCTTCATTTTGGCATTTTTTGGCATTAACGACAGCATCAACCCTGTTGTTTAAACAACAGCTTTTAATGTGCTAGCACCATTTTGTGTTTATTCATATTTTTGGCCTTGTTAAAACGGGTCACTTGACATTAATTTCCCTTTTCACAGTGAGCTTTGGCCAAGCTACTAGCTACTTAAACTAGCTTTAGTCTACCTAGATACAGTGTAAAAATTCTAGAAACATCAATACCCACACAAACTCAGTTAAAAAATAGGTGACATATTTGAGATAAAATATAGACAGTGTATTTGATATGTCAAATATAAATATAAAAATATATAGTAAGTTAATAACTGGTCATTTATTTTTAAAATACAAGCAACAAGCATTACATCGTAAACATTATTCCAAATATTCCATAAATGCTGTTTCAATTTTAAATGCCTCTCTAAAGATTTGCGTATGGTCAGGTAAAAAGTCTTTCCTTATTCAGATTACATTTATGAACTAGTATAAACATTTAAGACTTCAATTTCAGTGGGTGCAAAAAAGTTATAACAGTAATACAGTGACATTATTCTGCAACTTTTTCTTTAATTGTATTCTGTCTCAAATATATTTTAAAATTATTGTTGTTATTAGTAGTAGTAGTAGTATATAAATTAGTTAATTAATGTTCTGTCTTTTCATATATTAAAAAAAAAGGAACTCCCTTCTCCAATTGTGGATGATGTTGCCGGCATGAAAATCAGCGAGGGTCAGTCTCAGCCGAGTGATCCAGAGAATCCAGACACAATGAAAATCGCCTGGCGCTACCAGAACCAACCAAGAGTTCAGGTAAAAGACCATCTGTAGGGCAGTCGGTCCTTTTATTCAGTACAATATTGAGAAATCAACCGCACACAGTGGCTCTCAACTAATTTTTTTTTTGCTTCAGTACCCAGGTTTACATTAAAGATCAAGTCATGACCTGCACTGAAAAGCAAAATTGTTCATTATAATATTTATCCAGTAAACAAATGCCCTTAAAATTACACATGCAAATGTATTACCACATAATTCTTACTTTGTCAGTAATTTAGTGTACAAATGCATTGTGGTTGGCACAAACAATAATAATCTTCGTTGCTAATGAATTTACACCAGTGTTATTATAGGTAACTAAAACAATAAAAACATTTTGGTTACTTGAAAGAAAATAAATGTTAACTGATATAAAATATTAGAAAACTTGCACTTATTTTATTTCAACTGGTTGCCAAGGCCACATTTCTCATTTTTGTTTAGTTCAACTTGAAATACTAAAATAACTAAACGTAAATAACCTAAAGCTAAAATATATACATGTATACACAAAAGAATAAAAGTGACAAAAACACAAAGCAAAATTATTAAAACTGAAAAATTAAAAATGTTAATAAAAACTGTAATAGTACATCAATGATACTAAAATAACACTGATTTGGATTTGAAGTACTCTAGTTTATTTTGCTTTGCATAGTTTTGTGTGCATGAAACACAGCCTGTCCATGTTGTCATCAGTCTTGTTTGTCTAGCTTCAATGCCAATATACAGTGGATACGGAAAGTATTCAGACCCCCTTAAATTTTTCACTCTTTGTTATATTGCAGCCATTTGCTAAAATCATTTAAGTTAATTTTTTTCCTCATTAATGTACACACAGCACCCCATATTGACAGAAAAACACAGAATTGTTGACATTTTTGCAGATTTATTAAAAAAGAAAAACTGAAATATCACATGGTCCTAAGTATTCAGACCCTTAGATTTTTTGGAAAAATTTTTTTACAGTGTATGGACAGAATTTAGTCTGTCTTTTAAAAATTGACAAACCTTTTTATTTTACTATGCCATTTATATGGTAAATTAGTTGCATTTTCTTATCTGCATTCAGCATTGTTTTATACCTGCTGTCCACAACTCAATCAGAACAGAAATGCGACTCATTTTTGGAATCACTTTTATACATGCTAAGAACAGGGGGTGGGAAAAATAGTGTCCTATAATAAATGTATCAATTCCTACCCACCCAGCGCTGTGAATGGGCTTTGGCTGCTCTCATTCACAGTTTAGGTAGATTACTCACGCTTAGCTGGTTATAGGTGGACTTAAAACCCAAGGAGACAGGAGGACATGGAGCTTCTATTCAACCTCAAGCCCTTTACAATGGACTAGCAGCCTCCAGCACCCCCAAATCCCTTCACAGTCCTCGCTGTGGCGTCTGCGCACCCCTCTTTCTTCCATTTTCAGAAAAGACCCCTCCTGCCAGCCCATAATCCAGATTGCTATGGAGATTAGGGGGGGCACTAGTGAGTCCCCAAAGATTTCACTCTTTCTGTCTGCATTTTTGGACAACTTTCACTAATTTTTTTCCCTCCTCATTGGATATTTTCAGTCTCGTTTCCTTATTTCCTTATTTCCCTTCCTCTTTTTTCCCCCGTCTCGAGGGGATACTTACTCTCCTTAACCTTTATCATACCTCTGTCCTCCTGTCCTCTTACCAGTAAATCTAGTAAGGGATTTGTATCCTAAACTCGTTTCTTTTTCTCAATGGAGACGCCAGATCAAAGTTCAGTCAGTCAAAACCCATGCCGTAACGTTAAAGGGGTCGACCCGACCGGCCCACTAAACGAGGATGAGCGCCAAGCTGTCAGTCTCCGAAGGAGGTGCTGGAACACATAAGAGTCGCTGATCCAGATCAGGAGAAGATTAGGGGCTCACCTCGCTGCTCATTAGAAACTCTGGAGCAAAAACCAGACCCCCTCACAACCTGAGGAAAACATCTGCCCGCGTGCAAGTGTGCTTTCCTAAGCCCAAGTGGTCAGTCTCATCAGAAAGTGATTACATTCTCGATGGCTTAACGAATCCTCTGGGTCTCTTACAGTTTAACAATGGATAAGCTATCAGTGGTAGCTGGAAGCTGGAGTCTTTTATATGCTTAACTTTTCTTGTTATTGTCTTATGTAAAAAATGGTCCACTATGATAGGTCATCAATTCGTAGATGATTCTCTATGTACACAACTGTTTAAAAGTTGGTCAGTAAGATTTATATTTTAAATAATAAATGTTATTTTTTATAAATTTTTTTGAAAGGCATTAATGCTTTTGTTTAAGAAGAATGCATTAAATTTGTTGTGGAAAAAAATTTCAAATAAATGTTCTGTTTTTTTTTTTTACTTTATTCATCAAAAAATATATATAATCGTTTCCGCCAAAATATTAAGCAGCACAACTGTGCTATTATCAACAGTGATTACAAGAAATGTGTCTTGAGCACCAAATATTAGCATATTATAATGATTTATGAAGGATCATGTGACACTGAAGCCTGGAAAAAAAATCAGCTTTGCCATCACAGGAATTACATTTATTTAAAAATATATTAAAGTAGAAAACAGTTCATTTAATTTGTAATAATATTTCACAATATTAGTGTTTGTATTATTTACAATTTTTTTTTACTTTTTTTTTTATTATTAAACAAATGCTGCCTTGGTGAGCATAAGACTTCTCTCAAAAACATTTTTAAAAAATTGTACTGACCTCAATTTTTTTTGAAGTGCTAGTAATGAAATTACGGTATTTAACTGTAAATGTAAGTTAAAACCGTAAAACCTAAAACGTTGCTACTGTATTTTTTACGGTAAATTTTACTGATTTTTTGGAAAAAAATTTTTACAGTGTATGGACAGAATTTAGTCTGTCTTTTAAAAATTGACAAACCTTTTTATTTTACTATGCCATTTATATGGTAAATTAGTTGCATTTCTTATCTGCATTCAGCATTGTTTTATACCTGCTGTCCACAACTCAATCAGAACAGAAATGCGACTCATTTTTGGAATCACTTTTATACATGCTAAGATATGTCCTTACTTCTATTATGATAAGTGTGCTAAGTATCGTCACATATCTCCAAGAAGAAAATGCTTTCTCAATGCTGATGTCATGTTTCTGAGGAACACATCTGCAATTTCGTTTTATGATGGGTGTTCAGCCTAATAAAGGTTTTCGTAAAAACGTCTCTGTACTTCCAGGTCCTCGCCAGCGCTGCGAGAGCCAGGGTTGAGTCTTCAATGGTGTTTGCCATGCGGTTGTTTTATGGTTGCGAGGGGTGCGCGTGTAGAGGAGGCAGGAGCTTTCGTTGCATTAAAGTCTATGGCACGGCCACAGTGCAAACAAATCAATCTGGAGCCCCTGGTTCATGGAGGCTCTCTCTGCTTTTTATGTCCGCAAACAAAAAGGTCTTCTAATTGTTTATCTGCATAACAGCACCATAGTGAAGGGGCCGTGTTCCCAAGCTTATGTTTACTCGCATCAGTAAATGTGTTCCTGTATGGCGATACTGTGTCCGCGGAACAGCTTGTGCTATGGCAGCAACGTGATGGATGCCGTGGCCTACGTAGGTGTTGCTTTTGGAATTTTGCTGTCATTCCTTCCTCTGCCTTCAGTTTATTATGATTTTATGACGTGTTGTAATGGAATCATAAAGCTTTTAGCCGTTAACTGTTTTAGCACACCTTTTAGATGTGTTTCCGTCCCATAGGAACATGAAGAGACTTTATTCCTAGTACGTATTTTGCTGAAGGGCATCTAATCGTCATGCAATTTCTAACCCAAAAATTATATTACGCTGGCTGTTTTGTGACCTTTGCAAAGTAAAGGTTTCAGCTTTATCCGAGACAGATGAATATGGCAGTGGAAAAAAATATTGCAAGATGCAATATTTGTTATAAGAGAGTCACATACAGCAACAATACAAGCAACCTTTTTAAACATTTACAAACAACACACCCTGAAACGTATAAAGAGGCTGAACAAAAACAAGCTGCCCAGTCTCCCTCTGTCCAACAAAAGACGTTACAGGACAGTTTTCAGGGAGGCAAACCCTATCCAGGTACAAAGAGCACAGTCATTAGTTAACTTATTTACTGTACTCCCTGTCTCTTTCGTAACCATTAGGCGAATAAGAATAAATATTTTGTGTGTGCGTTTATGTGGGGTGTCCTGGTATTCCTTACGTTATAGGGACAAAAACGTTACCACAAGTATAGTAATACCAATAAATTTTGACTTCCTGAGGACATTTTAGGCCTCCATGAGGGAAAGTTGAAGATGAAGAAAAAATGGTCTGTTCAAAATTAAGAAATAAGTAAAAGTATGCACAGTTTGTTGTTGGTATTTTAGTTTATTTCATTAAGATTTGTTATGTCATTTAATCAATATTTTTTTTGTAAAATATGGAGATACCTGTCGGCCATTATCCTCAACGGACGGCACCTTAAGCGATCACGCTCTGTTAGGCTGCTGCGGTCTCTGTCTCAGGCACAATGGGGGCGTGTCCTCTTTTGATTGCCGCCACCCCCACCTCCCCAGGTCTTAATCAAAGGAGGGAAACACGTGTTTCACCCCATTAAGGAGCAAATCAGTGAGGTGGCTTTAGGGCAGGGGTGTCCAAACTCGGTCCTGGAGGGCCGGTGTCCAGAAGAGTTTAGCTCCAACCCCAATTAAACACACCTGAACTAGCTAATCAAGCTCTTACTTGGCATAGAAACTTAAAGGCAGGTGTGTTGAGGCAAGTTGGAGCTAAACTCTGCAGGACACCGGCCCTCCAGGACCGAGTTTGGGCACCCCTGCTTTAGAGCGTGAAATGTTTGGGTTCAATTATATATTTTCTTAAAGAAATTAATATTTTTGTTTAACAAGGATGCATTAAATTAATCAAAAGTGACAGTAAAGACATTGATAATGTTACAAAATATTTATATTTCAAATAAATGCTGTTCTTTTAAACTTTGTTCATCAGTGACACTGAAGACTGGACTAATAGCTGCTGAAAATTCAGCTTGGTCATCATAGGAATTAATTACATTTTAAAATATATTTAAAAAGAAAACAGTGCTTTTAAATTTTACAATATTAATGTATTTTTACTGTATTTTTGAGCAAATAAATGCAGCCTTGGTGTGCACAAGAGACTTCTTTCAAAACCATAAAAGTCATTTCAAAAGTCTTACCGACCCCAAACGTTTGAACACTATGTGAATATGCACAGATGGAAGATTAATAATCAGATGGAAGATTCATAATCAGTTCTATTGACACTATTTGTTCATAATGATTACCACTGAAAATTTTAATTTTGAGACTTCATTGTGTGCGTTTGACATGTGACTGTGTCATAAAACCTGTGTTATAAAAGTTATAATCCCATTATTTGAGCTAGAATCAGAAAAATTCAGCTAGTCCTTTTGAACACAACTAAAAGTATGTGTCAGGCCTGGATGTTGCTGTTTGTCAAGATTTAAATTCAGTTCTCAATCTTTGAGTAATTGACGGCTGTCGTAGCTGCATGCAGAGTGGCACAGTGTGGTCATTACAACATGTTGTGAGCCAGAATGAGAGGGAAAGACTGAAATGAATGACTGAAGTGACAGAATGAAAGACTTTACAAAACCCCTGAGGTGTGATATATATCTTTAAATGAGCAAAGACATAAATCTCAGTCTAGTAGTTTAATCTCAACAGGCTGCTTGATCGTCATCATTATATTTCAAACAAAAATGCACTTGCTTTGAATAGTAATAGGAGTCTTCAGAATGTCTGAATGCCATTGCATTTCAAGTCTCTTATGCTCCCCATGGCTGCATTTATTTGGTTAAAAAATACAGTAAAAGCAGTAATATTATGAAATATTTTAAAGGGGTCCTATTTTGTTCTTTTACAAAGTCTTGATTTTGTTTTGGGGGTGTACTAGAACATGCTCTCATGCTTGGTGGTTCGAAAAACGCATAATTTTTTACATAATTTACATTATTAAAATACCTTTCTCCCCAGCCTGGCACAAACGGCTCGATTAGCTCGATAACGGCTTTGATGAAGGTCCGCCTTCCAAAAAACAAAATGTGTTGTGATTGGTTAGCTGTCCCAGTGCGTTGTGATTGGCGAACAGCTTAAACCCCGTTCACACTAGCAGCGACTAGTTTTGTCGCTGCATGTCACCAAGGGCTGGCGATGAGGTTGCTAGTGGGCATTCTCAATACTTTGGGCATTCTCAAAGACGTTTGGGCACGGAGGTGAAAAAAACAGCATTTCAGGCGGTCGCACACCAGACGAGAAGCGCAGCTTTGCGTCACGCCACGTCTTTAAAATTCAAATACTTTATTTTCTATGAGTATAGGCACACCGGCGGCGGCGTTCGGCGTCGGTCCGCGGCGCCCAGCTACATCGTATTATACTTGTAAGAATTGTTCTAGACATGCCGAAAGTTTTAGGCTACAGCACAGCAGCTGCTCTTCTTCGTTTTCTCTGATGCACTAACTCTGCAGCAGCACTTCTTCTTTGTCGTCTCGTCTGATGCATTCACTCAACCAACCAAGCGTTCTAACCACGACCTCGCCCCTCCCCAACCCCCCTATCATTCGGATTTCTTTAGGCGCGAATTATTTGTAATGATATTCCAATGAGCCGCTTTGTGATACCCCAAAGCCCGGAAGCCAATGCTGTAGTCCAACCGAGCCGTTCGTTGTAGTTCTTGAAAAGGGATTTTTAAAAAACAAAATATCTCCCTTTGGAGTGGACTTTGAGATTTGTAACTTTCTAGATCTTTTTTATGCCCAAACATACACACTACACACTGACTCAAATTTAAAAAGTGAAAAAGCATAATAGGACCCCTTTAAGTAACTGTTTTATATCTGAATATATTTTAAAATCGAATTTATTCATGTGATGCTAAGTTGAATTTTCAGCATCATTACTCCATTCTTTAGTGTCACATGATCCTTCAGAAATCATTCAATATGCTCATTTACTGCTCAAGAAAAATATCTTCTCAATGTTGAAAACAGTTGTGCTGCTTAATGTTTTTGTGGAAACTGTGATACACTTTTTTTCAGGATTCTTTGATGAATTAAAAGTTCAAAAGAACAGCATTTATTTGAAATAGTAAAGACTTTCAAGATGTTACAAAAGATTTGTCACTTATCCCCAATTTAATGCGTCTTACGGAATGAGAAAAAAAACCTTACTGACCCCAAATTTTTGAACGGGAGTGTTTCTTTTGTTGAATAATGTTAAACTTAGTATTCTTCATTTTGTAACATAATATTACACTTGAAATATGTGCTTGTGCCAACCTTCCGTAAGATAAATGCCATGTGGTATTTTGTTATCTAATGCAGTTTTAGGGTCTAAATAAGTTTTAGGACACTGTATAATATTCTCAGATTTTAGGGAGAAAGAAAGCAAGAAACAAATTTGAGTAAAGACAAAATGTGCAACACAGAGCAGGTCAAGTGCTTTGACCTCCCTTGCTATGAGTTGCACATCTTACCCATGATTTAACATAGAAGCGCTGTGTCACTGGGATCAGAAGCACTGTCCCGTTAACACAGCGCTCTGTTTCAGCACACTCAGACTCACCGCAGGCCTCAGGGGGAGCGCCCGGAGCTGACAGAGGTGCCAAAGTGTTTAATTAATTTCATTTCATTTCATTTGATTTAATTAGTGATGTATTTCCTTGCGTCTACATGCACGGCTAGGTTGCCAGGGTTACTGCCGATGTCAACAGGCTTTTGTGATATCAAAGCAAATCCCACTTTATGACGGCAGCATATGCCGCAACAATTAGTGGTTTTAATTGAAGTGTACACAGATATCATCAGCTTTTGACCTGGTATGAAGCCATGATCATAATAGTCCACATTCAAGCATTTTCCTGAAACTGAACCTTTGCATAAAAAAATAAATAATAAACATGGTTTAAAGCTATCATTTGTTTGCACATTTGTTCTAAGTCAACTTTGAAACTTCTCTTACAATTTTAAGTCGCTTGACACATCGATATGATTAATTGCACAATTCCACACTTGTTACTTTAGATTAAAGCATCTGATAAAAGAAAGAAATGTTAAATGTGACTATGTTTTACACTTACGTTACTCTTTGAAAGATTGGGGTCTGTACAATTTTTATTTTATTTTTGAAAGACACTTATGCTCTCAAAGGTTGCATTTATTTTATTACAATAATTACAGTAATATTCAGGGTTTAGGGTTAGTACAAATGTAGAATTTTTATGTTTACCAAAGCTGCATTTATTTGATCAACAATATAGTAGAACAGTATATTGTGAAATATTACAACTTTAACTGTTTTCTGTTTCAATATAATTTCAAATGTAATTTATTCCTGTGATGTAATTCTTAATTTTCACCAGGCATTATTCCAGTCTTCAGTGTCACATGATCCTTCAGAAATCATTCTTATATGATGATTTGCTGCTCAAGAAACATTTCTTATTATTATTATTAATGTTGAAAATGTTCGTGCTGAAAATGTTCAAAATAAGTATATTTTATTCTTGTCATATTCTTTCAGTCCGTTACCAGTACCCTATCATGCTCTCCTGAAGTCTATCCAGACGGTCATCCGGAAAGAAGGGTTTGACGGATCCGCACCACAGGTTGGTTGTCATTTGTTTAGCCATTTATTACTCTGTTTCTCTGCCCGGTAATCATAATCAACTTTTTTCAGCAGCGATAACTTTAAAGAAATAGTACCCAGAAAATAAAAATCCTGCCATCATGTACTCACTCTCTCATGTCTTTCAAAATCCATGAAATTTTCTCGTCAATCGTACCAGAATGCCTTATTTCAGTATAATTAAAGGGAATGGTGACCACAACTTTCAAGCAAGGTTTTCAATGAACAGTCTTAAATTTCAGTCATATGGCTTCAGAAGACATGGAATATATGGGTATGAGTCAAAATGACTACTTTTATTATACTTATCCACATGAAGGTGAATAAATTACACATTTATAATTTTTGGGTGATCTATCCCTTTAAATTGACCAAAAACGGTATAATAAAATGCACAGTTAACAGACACGCTTGTCATTAACACCTCTGGAACAATGAAAGCGTTTTGCCGCAGGCAGTGTTGTTACAAGACCTTTAATTTGTTGTTTCATTGATTGGTCTCGCTTGGCTAATTGTTGCCTGATTTTGTCTGTGCTTTCACTTCCTTTGTAGTGTGGCTTTCAAAGCTTGTGATAATTAGGAAATGGAAAAGAGCTTCAGATATAAAGGCTTTATTTTTTCTTTTCCTTTCCAACTTTATTCCTCTTTTTCTCGTCTCATCCTCAGTTGTCAGTTTCTCCATGTTGTGCTTGAATCGCTCTCAGGAGGGAGATGGTTCCCTTGGGTTCCTCTTCCTTAAAGCTGAGTCCTATTAGTTTTGTGGTAAACAGGCCAAGACAGACACTGGGCAATATGCCCTCTGTCTGTTCATATTCATTAGCTCCTACTGAGAAGCAGGGGAGCTCGGCCCCTCTGGGGGCCCCTCTCAGAAATGGCCCCATGATAGCCCCTGTCTTGACTTCCACATCAGCACTGCATCTGCTGAGCCGCTCTTGGGACCGGGCCGCTTGAGGATGCACTCGCTATTTTTAATCAGTTTCCAACTTTATGTGGCCCTAATGTGGTTTATCTCATGTGGTGAACTCCATACATGGTCTCCTGACCAAATTTTGTGTCGGCTTAGTAAGCAGGCCTATAAGTTTATTAAATATAGTTAGCAAAGTTATAGTCAATCTCAAATCACTGTCTTTAAAACCACCTTTATTATTTTATTTTATATTTCAGAGATTTATTTTGTGTTTACACATATTTTAGTTACACCGTAGGCTTATGTCAACCCAACAAGCAATTAATAAAAAAGAAAAAAAAGAAATTGCTTGTGCTAAATTCTGCTTATATATGAAATGGTATTAAAGGTGGCATATCATGAAAATCTGACTTTTCCAGGTTTTAAGTGCTATAATCAGGTCCCCAGTGCATCTACCAACCAAGGAAATGTGAAAAAGATTAACCCAGTAACTTTGTTTTGGTAAGCCTTTTTCTGCAAGCATCTGAAAAAACGAGCGCGTCTGATTTCGCTCCCTTGGTGACGTGGCAAAGGGATCTCATTATAATATTACCGCCCCTTAATCTGTACGTTTCCACCCACGGCACCGTCATTTGATTTTGCAAGCGACAAAGTACCAGCTCCAGTGGCGAAAGTTTGAGCAAAACACGCTAACTGTTCTGTCTTTGGCTGCACAGATGAGCACAGAACACTATTTAGAGTCCCAGCCTCAGAGGAGACGAGAGCAGTGGATTTATTGATTTATTTAATGATATAATAAATAATCTGTGGAGTATTTTGAGCTGAAACTTCACAGACACATTCTGGGGACACCAGAGACTTATATTACATATTGTAAAAAGGGGCATACTATGTCTCATTTAAAACTAAATAAATAAAATAATCCTAAATAAAATTGTTAAGTGGGGTTCTAGTTCAGTTAAAGACAGGAAACCCATGTCATGTACAGTTTTGTTACATTACATGAAAAAGATTTCCAGTGCTTCCTGTCAGCTCTGATCTGTCCTATCATAATAAAGGCAAACATGCCAAAAAAAAAAAAAGAAAGAAAAAGATTTCCCCCCAAAAAAGTTTTTACTTTCAGTTTCAGTCTTATTGCAAGAAATGTAGCATTAAATCACTTGCTCACTAATGGATCCTTTGCAGTGAATGGGTGTCGTCAGAATGAGAGTCCAAACAGCTGATAAAACATCACAATAATCAACATTAAATTTCTTCAAATCTTTTCTGATGATGAAACAAAACACACCAAGGACAAAAAAAACAATGAATTCTAAAGAATTAATGATTTCTAAAACTTTATGGTTATCGTTCACAGTGTGAATGGGCCTTAAATAAATGTAAAAAATTGTATAAAATATTTTATAGATCTTACCTGTCATCTACATTCAGCTTTTCAACAAAGTCTCCATATACATCCATGCATGTCAGATAATGCTCCTTTTTTCTTTTTTTCTCCCCATGAGGCCAGTAATTTTATAGTTACTTGCTAAAGTTTTCTTATTTGAATATTCAAATTTTAGCATAAATTTGTGTCACTGACACAAAATCTTTTGAAATATATTTCACAATATATGTCACTAACCACATTTGACAGCATATACAATTGAATTAACCTTTAGAATAATTTAGAATAATGTTGGAAAATAAAAATATGTTGAAAGCAAAACTTTATTTCAAGTTCAAGCGATTCCAATGTTGTTTAACTGTTTAAACTATAGTTTAAAGTTTGATGGAATCAAGTTCCCAAATTAAATCTTATTCTGATCAGTAGCTTAAGTCTAGTTTGCGTTAGCTCTTTCTTGTTGATCGTTGCGCTTTAGTGTTTTTCTTGTAATCCGTGGCACTGATGGACACCTCGGGCTCCTCACCCTGGAAGTCCTCGATCCCGTCAGTCAACCGACAGATTCAGCGCTTACATCATCAAACAGTGCCGTTCTGTTGGCAGAGGTCGTGGAATGTGATGAGGTTGAGAGAACATGGGCACAAAGGCAAGAATGCTCAGAATGAGAAATTTGTTGTGTTTGCAAGTCCACAACTTATCCAAAATGTGTATTTTTATGGAGAGGCTTACTAAAGACTAGAAAACTGTTAGGTCTTAACTGAAACTGCTGCAAAGAGCTTCGACCTTTCACATCTTCATAAATATGCAAATATTAAATTGTCCTGCTTTTCTGGGACATCTGAAACTTGTATTGCCGTCACACCAGTTGCCAGTTTTCTAGTTGTTCTGGTCTGAGGTGTCCTCTCAATCTTTATTAAGCAGGTTCAGAATCAGCTCTTTGATGGTTGTGAATAAGGTTCATTTCTCTGTCAGACTTTGTACACTGCAGAGGGCACATCTCTCACCCATGGCCCCTTAGCTTGGCTGATGTTGGCGGATAATGTGCCAAGAATTTCCTGGCACTTGTTGGAAGCAGACATTTTGACTCTTAGGTTGACAGCCACATTGTGGTCATGTCAGGCAACTGTCCTGATTGGAAGATGTTGTCCAATCATTTTTGACCACCGTATTCCGTTTGACCGTGCTGTTGAGTGGTCTTGGCTGGGCCATTTGTTTCATTGATTCAAGTTTTTTGAGAGGTATATGACCCTCACTCCAACAGACAAAAGGCTTTTCACTACAGACAGGATTCCACTACTGACTTAGTTACACAAGTCATTGCACACTTATGTATGACATACTATTTGGGCACTGTTTTGTTTGCTTTTCACCATTCTCTCTCTCTCATTATGGAGAGAGTATAAATGTGAAATTGTACAATGGTTAATCATGTCCTGTTGAGAGTCTCTAATTGATTGATTGAGTAAATTGCTTGTGTAGGTGTTGCTTGTAATTTAAGTGTACTTTCATTACTGCAATAAGCACAAGACAGTGAGTACAGTTATAGTTCACCTTAAAATTAAAATTAGCTGAAAATTGACTTTCCCTCAGGCCATCCAAGATATAGATGAGTTTGTTTCTTCATCTGAACAAATTTGGTTAGCTAAGCATTACATTACTAAGCATTACATCACCAATGGATCCTCTGCAGTGAATGGGTGCCATCAGAATGGGAGTTCAAACAGCTGATAAAAACTAAACAACAATCCACAAGTAATCCACAGGATTCAATTAACGCCTTGTGAAAAGCTGTGTGTTTTTAAGAAACGCATCCATAATTAAAGTGTTTAACTTCAAACCGTTGCTTCAGGATAATATGCTAGTCCTCTATCCATAATATTGCTTTCTTCAGTGAAAAAGTCATCTTGGTTGAATCAGGAGAGAAATATGCACAGATCAAGCACCGTTTCCAAGCAAAAACACTTATAAACAAATACATCAGTGAATTTTGATGTGAGAGGACAACAGGAGGTGGACTTTTTCATTGTGATTGGTTGTCTGTCTTGCATATATTGAATTTGTTCCATTACATTTACGTTTACATTTAATCATTTTGCAGACGCTTTTATCCAAAGCAACTTACAATTGGGGAATACATAAAGTGATTCTTCTTAAAGAGGCAAACAGACACAGGAAGTGCTCGTAATACCAAGTTTCAGGCATTTGTTCAAATAAGCACAAGCTAGAAAGGGAAGGAATAAATAAAGAGAAAGACAACGTCTTTTTTTTTTATTTAGGATGACGTCAAGTAGCGTCAAAAGAGATGAGTTTTCAGTTGTCACTTGAAAATTGTCAGGGATTCAGCATTCCGGATAGGGGTGGGAAGATCATCCACCAGCCAGGAAGGGTGAACGAGAATGTTCTGGAAAGTGATTTTGAGCCTCTCTGTGATGGTACCATGAGGCGTCGCTCACTAGCGGATCTCAGACTTCTGGAGGGGATGTAGATTCGTAGTAGTGAGTGGAAGTAGGCGGGTGCTGAGCCTGTGGCTGTTCTATATGCAAGCATCAATGTCTTGAACTTGATGCGAGCCGCAACCGGTAGCCAGTGCAAGGAGATAAAGAGAGGTGTAACATGGGCTCTTTTGGGCTTGTTGAAGACCAGTCATGCTGCTGCATTCTGAATAATTTGTAAAGGTTTGATTGTGCTT